ATATTTTGAAAATGTGATATGTTTATTATCTATAATTTTAATATTAAATTCACATATATTACTTATAATATTTTATGTACATCTGTGCATGTGCACAGGATGATAACTAGTATTTAATAAAAATTGCTGCTGGGCCCAAGGATAAAAGGCAACAAGGAATGATGAAAAAGTTGAGGAGTGAGGTGAAAACTAAAAGAAAAAGTGGGGGCAAAAAAGAAACCCAATTAAAAAAAAAAAAAAATCAAATAAAGTATTATTAGCCTTAGCAGCAGAAAATAAAAATTAAAATAAAAAATGCAGAGTATTGAGAAGAAAGCAAAAGAGAAGGGGTGTCTATATGTACACCCCCTTGTGTGTAAAAAAAGGGTGTACATATAGTATTGCCCCTTGTGTAATTTATTAAAAAGGGGTGTACATATAGCATTGTCCAAAGAGAATCAAAGAGACGGTGTTGTGCGGCTATAACTGTTTTTGAATGAAGTTTGATTTCAACAAATATAACACTAAAATAAGGGGGAAATTAAATAATTAAAAACATCCACAAAGTTTCACATAGAAAAAATAAACAAAAATGTGTTTTATAATTATGCATAAGCCCTCCAGATTTAAATGACTATATTTTATGAATTTTACATTTCTTTGTGTATATTTTTGTAATATAATATGTGGAGTTGTTACCACTTTTTTTTTCAAAATAATTATATAAATAAGAAGATAAAATTAGTTTTTTCATTAAAAATGGCATATTTTCATAATATTTGTTGTGTTCACCTTTTTTCAAAATAATTATATAAATAAAAAATAAAGATAAATTTTTCGTTAAAAAGAAAAATAACTGTATATTTTGTATTATTTTGTGGTTTTTACAATTTTTTTTTTTGTTTTAAACCAAACCTATTAATACGAAAATAAAGATAATTTCATTAAAAAAATATCATCTAAGCTAAAAACACACAATAAAGCACTATTTTTTTATTTAAAAAAAAAAAATACAGAGTGGTTTAATAATATGGAAATTTTGGGAAACATTATTACTCTAATTGGTATAACAAAAAATAATGTGTAAGAAAAACAATTCATGCATATGCATTTTCAATATTTTTTATTTGCAAAAATTATCAATTTATAATAAATTTGTTATATTTTTCCTTGAGGAATGTTCACCTACCCATGGTGGGTACATATTAATATGCGTACCGCTTAGTGGTATGTACTCATTGGTGATGTATTTTTTTAACATATTAACATCACCAATGTGTGCATGCCACATAACCGGTGGACATATTAACATGTGTCCACCGTAGGTAAGGGAACATTATCCATTTTTCCTATTGAATATAAAATAATAGTGTATCTATTTCATGAAGTTGTTAAAAATATGAGCAATATTAAAAAGGTTGTAAAACTTTTATCTGAAAAATTATTTCGAGTCGATTTTTTTTTTTTAAGAAAGAGTTTTAATGATTTGAGAATATAATATTTGATGTACTAAAATTGAAAAAAAATTAAGTTCTCTCTTTCTCTTTGTTTTTTTTTTTTAAAAAAAAATTATAATTTACCTTCAGATAATGCTTGTGGCTTTTCTGCAATTACACTAAACCTGAAGGGCTTCCTTTGCAGTTAACCAAAATACTGTTGCTGGTAAGCATCATCTCCCTCCTTTTTCCTTTCTCTCTCTATATCTTCCATCTTTCTCTCTCTTCATGCCAAAAACACAGCCCACTGAGAGAGAGAGAGAGAGAGAGAGAGAGAGAGAGCCAACAATCATCATCATCATGAAACAACACTCTCTGCATCATGCACTCCCAAAAAGCGTAACCAACCATCAAAACCTTCCCCACCTTAAATCCTCCATTCCACATTCCCCGCTCATCCCCCACTCTAACCCCACACCCCCCAAGCCATGACCCTTCTCCCTTCCTTCCTCCTCGCCGTAGCCATCCTCACAACAACCGCCGCCGCCGCCGCCGCTGACCCATCTCCCTCCCTCCAGCTCCTATCCCTCCTCGCCCTGAAATCATCTCTCTCGGATCCCCTGAATTCCCTCCAGACCTGGAACGTGACGACGGCGGAGTCTCCCGGGAACGATTCTTTCCGGCCCGTTGAATGCTCGTGGCCCGGCGTCGGCTGCAATCGCCTCGGAAACCGCGTTATCAGCCTCGACCTGTCGGGCCGCAAGCTCTCCGGCGGTATTCCGGCGGATGTGAAGTATCTGACCCACTTGGAGTCTCTGAACCTGAGCTGGAATTCGTTCGATGGCCCGCTCCCTGGCGCCGTTTTCGAGCTCACGAGCCTCAGGACACTCGACATTAACCACAACCAATTCAACTCGAGCTTCCCGGCCGGAATATCGAAGCTCGAGTCCCTCGCGTTTTTCAACGCCTTCAGCAACAATTTCTCGGGCCCATTGCCGGAGGAGCTCGTTCTCCTCGAAAACCTCGAGTATCTCAATTTGGGCGGCAGTTACTTCGAAGGCGAAATCCCTTCG